ATTACTTTTGTGCCATAATATTATTTTTGTAACTACAGAGAATATATTTCACAACTAGTTATTTTAATTTGTATTCAAATTTAGGAGTTTAAATTTCTCTCTGCCTCATTAAAACACATATATTTTGCATTATCAAAGTGATTGCGGGTTCTGGGAAGAAACAATTACATGTATTAATTTCACTGAGACAGTTTAATATTTTTGAATGCTCATATTCCATTGAGCTTCCACTGAGCTACACAACTATTAAATGGAAATTGATAATTGGACAAGAGAAAATTATTCCCTGCCCTTCTTGCTCCTAAAACACTAATGCACTTTATTTATGTAATTGTTGCTTCACATTTTCCACTTGTTGTTTTCTATCATTTAATTCACTAAGCATTGCCTCTAATAGTGTCTACATGATCCTCCAAAAAAAATACTGGCAAGCTTTTGAAAAAGGGTTCTCCAAGCACTGATCCTCAATTTCAATTTCTCTATACGATTTTAAAGTATGATATACAATTCTATTTCATTCCAAAATATGTACATGGAGCTTTAAGGCCCATTAAAACTTCTGGTTGTCGCAAAACATTGCACCACCAAGCCAGCGGTCATGTGACTGTGATCTGGGTGCTTGACAACCTGTTCACAATTATGACTGCTTGCCAAGCCTTCCCTATCATGTGAACGCCATTCACAATCTTCTCTGCTGGCTTCTGTGGAAATTCATTGAGTCCTCAGCATAACCTCCCATGGTCTCCCTTATCTGTAACTCTATCCACTTAATGACCCATACATTCACCTAATGACCACTACCAGGTGCGCTGGGATTGTGATTTTGGTTGTTGAATGAAGCAATCATATAGGCAGTCACATGACATCTTACTTAACGAACACTTTACTAAATGATTACTCAATGGGGCTGGCTGTCCCACCCATGCAAGCCAAGAAGGCATGCTGCAAGCCCCAATGGCCGGGGTATTCTGGCAGGTGGGGTCCAGAAGATTGCTGCCATTGCTCCTGCTCTTTGGAACATCTTGACATACACACTCACCCCGAGTGAGGTTAGCCCCCACCCTCCTGATCTTTTGCAAGAGTTAAAAGACATGGTTTTGCCAGTTGGCTTGGGACTCTAATGGGAGAGGCTTCACATCATCTCCCCCTGCTCATCCTATTCCCTCCCTCCCTCCCCATCTTTTAGTTAGGGTTGAGTATTTATATTTTTATAGTATTTTGTTCATATTGTGCATAGGTTTTGTATAATTTTACCCTTTTAATATTTTAAGCCACCCAGAGTTATCATGGTAAGATGGGTGGCCAATACATTTATTTATTTATTTGTTTATTTATTGCTAGTCATGTGATCATTAATAGAAGATTACCAGTATATGCTTATGATTGTAATCTGGAAACTCGACTTTCATTCTTCTCCTTTAGCTTAACTTGTAACATGACCTCAGTTGTTCATTATCTGTTCCACAATCAGCCCTTGGACACATCTTTACCATTATAATTGAGCTCTTCCACCTCTTTGCACAATAATATAGTTAATGCGGTGTTTGTGTGCTCCATCTGGTGATATTTAGATATGTAGGCATTGCTTAGTTGTTTGAAGGTAGCAATGAAGAAACCATTTGATTAAAAAACTGATTAAATTGTTCTCTTTCATTTGTTTCCTTGGCCATACAATCTGACTATATTTCCCTTCTTAATATTTTCAATGTTGGCATTCTGATCTTCAGCTACAAGCAGCACATCTTGCTTAACTGTTCTATCAACCTCAGATGTAATTTGACTGCCAAACTCAACTTCCTTTTCTCCTGCATCCATATCACACCATCACCTTGAATTGCAATCATATTAAAGGGGCTGCATGAAATCTAATATATATAATTTTGTCAGTGGCTGCATTATACACAACTTAAGAAAGCAATGCTGTTCCTTATGTTTCATGTTCTGAACAGTAAAAAAATGATTTTCTGACTGAAAAAGTCCAATCCATTTCAACTCACTGGTGCCTAATAGACCACTGTTTAAGTCGAATCATTTCCTCTTTCACTAGGTAAGGTTTCCTATGTTCAAGCTTTGGATGTTCCATCTTCCCACTGTACTTCTGTTTCATAGCCTCTGATGTTCTTTTCTTACATGGTAACATCAGCAACCAAATATCCAAAGGCATTAATCTAGTCATTTCATAAAAAACAATAATATTCCAAAAGATCATCAGTCTTCCTTAGTAACAGGGTGAGAGTCATCCAATATGAGAGGATCATCTGTCATGGGTACTCTTTTTGAGCCACCAATAACCAGACTGACCCAGATTACAACAGACACAACACAGTGGAAATTTGGACAATTGATTTTTATATCCCCCCTCGATGAGAGCAGGGAGTACTTTAAAATAGGAAACCTTACAAATAAAATAAAAGGGAATTATGTCTAGAACTATTGTACAGATAGATACATCTTAATAATAAAACTATTTTATATTTTAATTATTTTCTATAAGGTCTTTATCTACACTTGACTTTAAAGTCCAATTTCACTATATTCTCATATCTTTCTGTTTTGTATCTCAGATATATTTATTTCTGACCCATTTTCAGTGTCCTTAATCTCATTATCTCCATGGTCACTCTCCATAGAGCTTTCATTACAGAATTCAATCTTTCTAATCTTTTTTTAACTTTTATTGTCCATTTCTGCAAAATCTTCACTTTTTTTTATCTCTTCTCCTTATTTGTTTCTAGCTGGACTTCTTGATTCTTTTTCTCTTATTCTGCATCTTTACACTATCTAGGGGAAACAGCTTGAAAAACTTGTACCTCGTGCCAGACTGAGGAAAAGAAACAGTTCTCACACCCGTTTTCTCAGTTTCTGCTTCCTTTCCTGTTACTTCTTCTCGTTAGGATATCTATCGTTTGTACTTTGGTTCCTGAGGTTTGGCTCTGTTTAATCCACCTCTTCATCCTGAAGTCCATGGTTGCAGACATCCATGCAATCACCCTGTCTTCCCTCCTTCTAGTCTCCTGTCCAATATTTCTGTTGTTAGGTGGGACATCCTGAAGATGGGGAAGGAACACAGGTACATACAACCTGTTCAGGCAGTCTGTCCTTTCACTGCCATCATCCTGTACTATACAGTATAATCAAGCACTTAATCTTGTCTGGGAACTGGGGGCAGCTGGCATCAGCAGGTAGACAAAAAGTTAAAAGGGCAGAGATTGGGGAGGGAGATAGGCAGGTGGGGGGAGTTCAAGAAGTGGTAGTCCCTTCCCTTACAGAAGTTCAGGGATGGGAGAGACCAATCTACAAATGGCTTGGATGAGAGTGGATCCTTCCTTAACGACTAGTAGGATTCAGTTAATGACAACAGGGACTGCCAAATGTGTTGTTAAATGATGCAGTCACATGACACCACACTTTTATAACCATATCACTTAGCAATGTTAATTCTGGTTCTAATTACCATTTTTAGCCAAGTGCTATCTTTAATGCAGATTTAAATCTGAAGGAAGAAGCATATGCTGATGATACTTCTAATAGACAAAAATGCAAAGGATCTGGAAGTTTTATTAATAAAAGTCATAATGAAGAAAATGAAGCATAATGAAGAAAATGGGACTAAGATTAAATATAAAGAAGACCAAGCTATTGGCAAGTACAGCAACCACCTTTAGAATTTATAATGAAGACATCAATATGGTAGATAACTTCTGCCTTTTAGAATCAAACATCAACAATAAAGGAGCAAACTTTTAATTTTTGAATTTTGGTGTTGGAGAATACTTGTCCCTAATGTCTAATGCTATCATCCAGTCTTTTTTTTAAGTAACATCAACATTTTAATGTCATTCTGATTTAGCAATGTTATTTTATGGTTTCATTGTTTAGAATAACGTTCTCTGAGATGGGTGGCCTTATAAGTACAATTTACAAATAAAATAAGACTCCTGAGACTACCATAAACAGGCAAGAAAAAAATCAAAAGATTGCTGAACAATTCAATCCAGAATCCTCATTAGAGGCACAAATGACCAACCTCAAATTATCCAACACATTATGGAAAGACCTAGTTCTCTAGAAAAGGGTATAATAGAAAGAAGGATAGAAGCAAAGAAACGAGCAACAACAAGGTGGATAGACTCCATTACAAGAGCAATGGAAACATTCATTACTGGAAGATCTGAGCCAGGTTAGAATCAGATTGTCAGGAAGAAAAATCTATGTGGTTGCTAAGAGTCAATACCAAGTTGATGACACATATCTATGATTATCTATGTCACATAATTCTAACCTCAATTGTCATGAACTGTGACACTGATATTCAGCAATTCCATCACTGAATTCTGAAGGTTACAAAAACTACCAAAAGAGTTGAAGGCTGCAGGTGATCCACTCTTGCCTTATTTTTTTGTTTGTTTGTATCCCACCTTTATTGTTTCTACAAATAACTCCACAGCAACCTTGTGAGGTAAGTTGGGCTGAGAGTATGACTGGCCCAGGGTCATCCAGCTGGTTTTCATAGCTAAGATGGGACTAGAATTCATGGTCCCCTGGTTTCTAGCCTAGTGCCTCAACCACTACAACAAACTGACACGCATATTGTTTGTGTTGAACTTTTAAACACATAAACATGACAGTTAACTGATGTAAAAATGCAATTTACTGAGGCAAAAATGAAGCATGGTACTAGAAAAAGAAATGTAACCACCAATTGGTAAGGACAAGCCATGAATACAAATGAAGCTAAGCCATAAGTACAAATGACACCACCTTAATAAGCTGATATTCTATCAAGTAACAAAGGCAAATCTACCACATCAGAAGAAACCAAGTCTCTTAGAGATAAACTACAACCATGATCTATTTTAAAAATTACTCATTTTGAAAATATGAAAAAGAACATCAGTCGAGCATTAATTATGCACCAAGACAAATTCCTTGTGTATCCAATCACACTTGGCCAATAAAGAATTCTATTCTAAAAAAAATGATATATTTTTAATTCTTACCTCTGTTTAAATGGTGTACTAATCAAAGCAGATTCTTCTTTAAAAGAAAGTTTCCAGGATTCATCTGGTTTATGGTCACTCTGGCCCAATTCTTCCATGACCCAGTCACGTAAATCTTCTGGGATGTTACTCCAAGCTCTTTTTGAACTTGGTTCATCAAAATATATTGACTAGATTTTCAAAAGAGAATATTGAAAAATATGTTTCATAATGTAAGTTTCCAGAAATAATCCTTACTGTGTTTAAATAAATCCCACAATAACTCTAAATGCTAGGTAATCATTGGACCTATTCAACAAACCATCATTTAGTATAATATATGACCTGAGCTCTTGACACAGTAGCTCATCTCAAGTTCCAATTAATATACCTTTTGTTGCAAGTTTAAATCAGAACGGTATTCAAATGTGCACAAGTTATATATTTTACAAACTTCCCTATTAATATATCTAAATCTCCTACAACTATCATGACAGTACTGTACTATCAATAGACTGAGGCACATTCAAAAAATATGCAGCTATGTCCTCTTTCATATTGCAGTAGTAAAATCTTTGGCTCATATCTTCTCATACTATGTTTTCTACAAAAGTGCCCAAGACATTATTAATGCCCCATAATTCAAACTTTCTTTGATGAGTCCTATGAATGCTATGTTCAACATCACTCATCAAACCAAGATATAAGGAAAACTGCAGATGTATTAAAATTACTAAAATAGCCTCCAGAATATTACAGCAATTAATAGCCATGTAACCTCCTTATACTCCAGATTGGTTTTACTGTTGTTTGCAACAAGGTCATAGTCTGCATCCTTGCTTCCTATCCTTGCCCTCAATTTTCCTCATGCATCTTATCACATTTAATGGTGCTAAATCATATCTCAGTTCTTAATGTTAATACTAGTCTATTCTAAATTAGTGGTAACATCATCCTGTGATGTATTATTCAACTAGATATTAAGCATCAAGAGTAAACCCAGACATTGATTTAGGTCATTATTATGGGAACTCTGACACGGGCAAATAAATCTAGTACTTTTGCATTTTTATTGCGCCTCAAAGCAGTTTTAGTTTATTTCTTTTAGCCTAATTCTCAAGGTGGGGGATTGTTCATTCTCCAGAGTTTTTGAATAACTGGGCAGCTATATAAATTGTATTAATAAAAGAAGCCCTAATCAGTTCTCTCTTCCCATAAACAGAAATATGAAACATACTGATTTTAAATTATAGCAAAGAATTAGATGTTTACCATGTATGATGGAAGTGTTTTCAAAATGCCTGATTCAGGTTTTTGTGTAAATGGTCCCTCTAGCACTCCTCTCTTTAGCATATGAAGAAGCAGTTTTGCATATAAGTTTCTATTCTTCCTACCAACAATTCCTGTGCCAGCACCTGAAGGCTCACAAAGTTTTTTAATCCAAACAGCACATCTGTAACGTTCTGAAGAAGGCAAAAGATACATTTAGGAAACAGAAATTAGTAACAATATTTCTCCATCCTGAAGTCAAACATGCAACTTCTTTATTTCAAGACAAAGATTATGAAACAAGTGTATCAAGTACTTAAAATGTTGTGCAGAATATTATCCTTAAGTATCTAACAAACAAGAAACATTAAGATGCCAACAGCCTGATATATTTACTTCTAAGTTAGGACTCTTTTTTAAAATTAAACAGTTACGTGCTACATTAATAAATAGTTACATGCTATATTATTTTTTAAATTAATTGGCAAATTAATTAAATTAATTGGCTTTTTATGTTAACATATTTATTCATGTGAAAAGAAAATTATTTTTGGGGGGCTTGTTTAGACAGCCAAAGTGTGACTCCTTTGAAAATTAGGCAAGTTCTTATACCAACTTCAGTAAGCAAGGACTGACTCTTCCAACATTTAAAGGCACTAGGCACTGGGAAGCAAATACATTTTTAACTTCCGAATTCATATGAGAAATTCACATTATAGATTAATCCTAATACAAAGATGGAAGATGTTTTGCTACATTTAACTATTGTATCCTTTTCCTCTGAAGATTCTGGGAATTTAAGAGTTTTTCCAAACAAAAAGTTGTTCTCCTTGTGTACCATTCTTTCAAGTTGAACTGAATAATAACTCATTTACCTCAGTTTTACCAATGACTGCTTTCTATCCAACTGCTCTCATCACTGTATTAATGTCTCTAATTTTTATTCTTATCTTTAACTCATAAGGTAAATTAAAAATATAGTAAATTTAACTTAGGCATGTTAATGTTCTTCAAACTATCTACCACTTTTTTATTTATATACCATATTTAAGAACTGCCTATCTCCACAGACAGCAACTTTGGGCAGGGTACAAATAAATATAACAACACAAAAACTATATATAAATATTATAATAAAAACAGCTAACATAGGAATAGTTAAAAGTTCAAGATTTAAAAAGTGGAGGAGGGGCTTCAGAGTACTAGCCAGCCCAATGACTGCATGCTCTTTTGTGGGCCCCAAGCAAGTTGACAGAGCCAGCTAAGCATTTACAAACTATCAGGAGGGCCGCGGCCTGCCTCACCTCTAGGGGAAGAAGGTTCCAAAGGGCAGAGGGGCAATGGCAGAGAAAGCTCTTTTCCTGGGCCCTTAACCAAAGGGGTCCACAAATACCTTCCCTGTCTGACCGAATGGAATGGGCCAATATAATGGAGTGAAGACAGTTCCACAGGGAATCTGGCCCCGTGCTATGTGCAGCTTTAAAAAACATAAACACATCTTGAATTGACCCAGAGGCAAACCAACTCGCAAAGCAGCTTGTGCAGCAGAGGTGTTACATGTGCTATTCCTGGGGCACCTACAACTGCTCACACAGCCTCACTCTGTACCAGGTCAAGCTTCTGGGTACTTTTCAAGAGTAGTCCAATCTAGCGCACATTGCATTAGTCCAGACAGAAGATGACCAGAGCATGAGTGACTGAACAAAGAGCCTCCCTACCCAAGAATGGGTGTAACTGGCACGCAACATGAAGTTGAGCACTCCTAGCCACAACTGTTACTTGCTCTTCGAGCAAGAGCCATGAGTCCAGTGGCTCCCTAGAGGTGGGTCCCTAGATTATGCACCTCTCTGAAGTAGAGCAAAACCATCTAAGACCAAGTTGATAAACGAAGCCCCCATCACCCACCCACAACCATTCCACTTTACCAAGGTTGAGCTGAAGTATGTTGCTCCCTATCCAGACCCCCATAGCCCCAGGCACCACAAAAGAACATCCACATCACTCACTTCATCCAGGGTAGAGGTATATAAATGATGATACCTCATCCAATGGTGACAGATGATCTCATCCAATTGTTACATGTTAAAAAGGAGAAGAGAGAGCACCGAGTCCTGCAAAGCTACAAAGTAGGGGGCTGTGAATTGCACCTCTCATTCCCTATCAACACTAATTGGAACTGGTCTTAGAGAAAGGAACTGGACCAGCAAAAACCATCCCCAATTCCCTAAGTTGACCCAAAAGAATACCATGGACGACTGTCATGAAATCCACAGAGAGATCAAGAGAACAAGGATGGATTACCTCCATCCCACTCCTGCCAGTTCTAACAGCGCAACCAATGCCATTTCTGTACTGTATCTGGGCCTGAGCACTGACTGAAAAGAGGTCCAGATAAGCCACCACCTTTTTGACCACCTTCCTTGCTCTATCACTTTATAATTGCGCTGTATTTGAGATATGTATAAAACTACCTTATTTTAAACAAAGTATTTTTAAAAGGCTCTTTTATATATAAACTCTGTTCAAAGGTTTCTTTTTAAATAACAGTAAAACAACTTGTTTTTCAGAAAGGGCATTGTAATCAAATTTGGAATTAATTTTGTAATCAAATTTGGAATTAATTTCTTGAAGTCATCGTCTCTCAACTTACATCTCTTCAAAAGGCAACAGAAAAATTTATAAACGGTAAACTCCTTATGGGAAGCAAAAGGTTTTCAACTAACCTTAACCTGTGACATTTTCATGTTAAGACTGAGCGCTTCTATCTTTCAGTCCATCTAAAAATTGCAGGGCTTTTATTCCTAACTCTGCAGCTCCTTTTCTTTCATCTCCAATTTTCTTAGCCTGCTTTGTTCCTTTAAATCTGTAAACTTGAAGTAACATTATTTTTTGTGCTTTCTTCCTAAACATCCCTTTTTGTCAATAACTGACTCATACGTTCCATGTTGGAGTTTCTGCACTTCATATTCTATTATTAGTGCCACTTTGTTCATTGCCTAGAATCTGGCAATTATTTTGATTGGTATCATTTTATACTAATTTATTTTTTCTGTTTAATAATCTTTTATGAACTTCCTCTGATATTTCTATTTTTTGTTTTTGCCCATTGCAAAATATGTATTTCCTCAGACTTCCTTAAATGTCTGATTCTTGCTTCTTCAGACTCTCTAGTCAGCAACCTTTTTTTAAAAAAAAAAACTGGTATTACTTTACATTACCACCACATGCGGCAAAATTAGTTTACTTATTTAGAAGTGGCATAATTTCTTCAATATTTATTTTGGGACTAAACAAATATAGTTTGAAATCTCACTTGGCACTACTCCAAACTAAAACGTTACTGTTACTGAAATTTAAATTAAATTGGAAGTCATCTTTCTCCTAATTTCTTTTCCTCATAAAGTACTAACTTGGGAGTGGAGTTCTTACTGTATATTCTGTCTCCCATTTACTCAGGACCAGCTGATTATGAACAATGGCATTTTTTCTTAACAAAAACATTAAATGAAAATATAAGAAGATATGAAGAATTGCTTTTCTTTACCAAAATTCTTCCTCTACCAATACATTTATTTCATTTTAAATATCACAGGCAATCTCCTAGTATTATTTGAATAGCTTTACAGTACTGTAGGACTAGACCAGTTCAGTTACATCAGATTCTTGCTTACTGATGAGCTAAAGCAAAGGTTATCGTGGCAATTAGCTTGGTTCCTCTCTCTTTCCAGGACACACTATTAGTATTTTCCCTTTCCCTTTTTCCTACAATGGCAGAAAAATCTCTGTCTGCTTTGAAGAGTTTCCAGAGATACTTGTGTGGGCATCCCAAGATTAAAAGAAATATGTAGTCCTCACAGTTCATTTAATGACCGTTCAAAGTTACAACAGCACTGAGAAAAGTGACAAGACTGTTTTTGACTTCTGACCATTGTTGCATTTCCATGGTCACATGATCAAAATTCAGATACTTGGCAACTGACTCATATATGACAGGTCATGTAATCAACTTTTGTGACCTACCTACAAGCAAAGACAATAGGGAAGCCAGATTCACTTAACAACCATGTTACTAACTGCAGTGATTCACTTAACAACTGTGGCTAGAAAGGACATAAAATGGGACAAAATTCACTTAAATGTTTCACTTAACAACAGAAAGTTTAGGCTCAACTGTAATCATACATTGAGGACTACCTATACACACACACACACACACTCTTTCACTTTCACTAAACTTTGGAACTCTCTCCATACTTGAAGCCTACATCACATCACCACAGAAAATATTTCCTAAACTATCTACTAAGCACTGAATTCCTATTTATGTATCTCAAAAACATTTTATTCTATTTCTGTAGTTTGCACTGAAAATATGAAGGAAAAATGTGTATCTGCCAGCATGTAAGTTTCTTGCCAATCACATTTTCCAGTAATTTTAAGAATTAAGTAATATTATTACTTACTTTACTCAGTCACGTTTCTATATAATGGAAAATAAAATATGAAATGCATCAATTGTCTAATCTTTACCTGATTTATGAGGTAGTTTTAAAACATAAGACTTCATATCCACAACATAATGGTCAAATTCTGAATCCAATTTCTCCCACGCTTCTTCTTCACTGCTCATTGTGCTCAGTCAATAAGCTATGTACAGAAGTGTTCTTCAAGATCACTGAAAAAAATCATTCAGAAAATCAGGATCAGATTACATCACTATATTCATAACTTAAAAGGGACATCAAACATTACACAAAATATTTCCCCTGAGGCAATAGATATTATTTCTTGCCCTCCTCTCTCTATATGAGGGATGTCAAACTCACGTTGTCACAGTGGTGTCATGTGACATATTGGGACTTTTTTCACCTTCGCTAAACTGGGCGTGGGCATGGCCAGTGCGTGACACATCTGGCCCGCAAGCCAGGAGTTTGACAGCTCTGCTCTATACCTTTCAGAATAGAAATTTTAATTATACCAAAAATGAAAATTATACCCAAAATGAAAGCTTTTATATTTTGCAGTTTTTATCTTAGTAGTTACTACATTTTTCCAAATACTATATGCTATGAATAAGTTCAAATATATACAGTCAAGCATCAAATAGCATCCAATCCAAAGGCACCAATAGTCCAAAGATCACTGCCTTGGATGGTTATAGAAAATTTTAGAGTTCCCATTGGAACTGGAGATAAAGGAAAAGGGAAGTTGAAGGGACATCGAAAATATTGAAGCTCTGAATGGCCATTTCAAGTACGCTCAGGGGGCAGTAACTATCTTTTTTTATGTACATAAATTACAGTACATATATCAAAGAGTTGCTTTTTGATAAGCATTTTTGTTGAGAGATTATCAAAAAGTTCACAAGTCTGTTATTTAAATTTGCTTTGCAAATAGAAGTCCATGCTGCCGATTGCCTTTTTTCACCTAGCCTACATAAAAATTGCCAAAGCATTTGTTTACTTGTTATTGTATGTTTTATTATTATTAAGTATTTTCTTGGGCTTTACTTGGGTAGACTGGGATGGCAACTAACAGTAAGCATACAACTCACAACTTCTAAGATATAAAAAAGGAGAATGGAGTTAGTTACAAGCTCCATTGGTTTCTATGACCCAAATAGTTTAAAACTTTGAACTGTTCCCCTGAACTTGCAGCAACTGAGATATTTTGCATTTGATTAATCACAAGTATATGAAATCTTTGAGTAAGGGAAATTTAATATTTTAATATGCATGCAGACTCAACTTCAGTATTACAAGCACACACTGAGGTTATCCCGATAAGGAATATTGTTATATCTATGGTACCTGTTGTCATTACAGGTAGTCCTCAGTTAATCACAACTGAACCCAAAGTTTACACTTCTGAGCAAGATAGTTGTTAAGTGAACGTTGTCCCAATTTACAACCTTTCTTGCCACAAGAATCATTACAGTTGTTAAATTAGTAACAAGTTTATTAAGTGAATCTGACTTTCCCATTGATTTTGCTTGTCAGATCACAAAAGGTGATCATATGATCACATAACATGCAACCAATTATAAATACATGCCAATTGCCAAGTGTCTGAATTTTGATCACATGATCACAGGGATTCTGCAATGGTTGTAAATGTGGAAAACAGTCGTTTTTTTCACTTTCTTTGAACAGTCACTAAATGAATGGTTGTAAATTGAGAACTACCTGTTTTAAAGGCAGGACATAAATTTACACTGTTTACACTTAAGATATTTTTGTGATGGTCTTCAAGTTCTGCACAGAATAGAACCTGAAGGCGATTACAAAAGTATCTAGGTGTAATAAAACTCATGGATTTTTTCTTTCTTTTTGGACCATTTCAGGGAATTTGCTTCAGCAATCCAATCAAAATATCAAAAGTCTGTGTTTTCTACAGCTATATTACTATTTTAATTATCAAATCATCACAAAAACAAATACAGTCATTCCCAACCTGTAGTGAATCGAGCATAGAAAATGCGGTCATAACCCCACAAATTACTAATAGTTAATCCTAATTCCTAAGGATTATTAATTATAGAATTATAGATCTATAGAATTATGAATTCTTTCTCATTATAAATATGTATACAACTAAATTGAAACAAACTTGCAGAGCAAACCACTGCCAGTTGTTTAGTATTTTCCAATCAGAGCGGAGAATCCACTGTTTCCAAGCAAAAAAACAAGTAAGTGATTCTCTTCGTTCTATGAAAATGTATGTAGGATTAACTCTTTTAATTATAAATTACTATACACTACTCAAAAGTTTGAACCTCTAATTGGATTGGTAAAACAGTCTCACCCATGACTGAGTAAATCAGGGTATGTGCATATATGTATGTGTGTTTATGTCCACAACCCATTTATCTGTGTTTACTCCCTTTGTTCTTGTTTATGTTTATACTTATACTTGTTATCTTGTACATGTTTGACAAACAAATAAATAAATAAAATAAACCCACTGAACCACATCCAATAACGGTCCACACTAGGCTAAAGTTGTGTTGGGCTAATTTGTGGTTCAGCAAGTCTAATCACCCAGAGCCACTAAGTTTAGTGTATTTGAATCCCACGGGATAGCAACACCGAACCTCTGTCACATGCACACAATCTCCTCACAAGCACACTCCCCCCCGCCGCCCCATTTCAAGAAGAAGAAATGTGCCCAACGGGAAGCCTGCAAACTTTGGCTCTTCGACCCCGTTTACTATAGCCCCGTTTACCTCACGCAGTCCACGACGCCGGAGGCTTTGGGCACCGCTTCCCACTGAGGGAAGGGATTATTACCACAACCCCCTTCACCAAGGGTGGGAAAGGAATGCAAGAGGTCTAATGGAGTGGGACGGAAGAAGGGAACCGAACTGTCTCGGAGACTCCCAAGCCCTCGCCACCGACGCGGCTACGCCTCCTCCACCTCCTCCTCCTACTGCAAAGGGGATACATGAGACTGGGAAAAGCCAAGGCTGAGCTTCAGGCCTGCGGAAGAAACTCAGGACGGGCGCAACCGCTGCCAGGAACCCATCCAAAAACAGCCAACGGCTCGCGCCCAACTCTCTCTCTCTCTCTCTCTCACGCTCAGCTAGGGAGTGGCGAGCACAGCCCCAAGTGATTTCCGCTTCCGGTGAGAAGCTTGGCGGGCGGTTGCCGCGCAACACGGAGTTTGTGAGCGTTCTTGGAACGTTAGAATTCGGTCTGGGCGGGGTGGACTTGGAGGTCAGAAAGGCTGATGGGGTTGTTTGTACTGGGAGTGGCGGGGAGGGGGGGCGAGGGGAGGTGGGGGAAATGAAGGAAGGAAAGCGAAGGAAAGCTGCCGCCTTCTGGAAATAAAAGACAAAAGCTCGGGTTTGGGCAGGAACGGGTAAGTTCACCCACCTACCCCTTAGTGAAGGTGAGTCTCTGGGGCTTTGCAGGTTAAGTACTGGTAGTCCTCGACTTACGTCCCAAATTTCTGTTGCTAAGGGAGAAATTAGTTCCGTGAGTTGCCCCATTTTACCAACATTTCTTGCCACGCTCGTTAAGGGAATCACTGCGGTTGTTAAACAGTTGTTAAATTAGTAACCCCGTTGTTAAGTGAATCTGTCTTCCCCAGTGACTTTGCTTGTCAGAAGGTCGCAAAAGGGGATCAAGGGACCCCGGGATGATGCAACGGTCGTAAATATGAGCCAGTTGCTTAACATTCAATCACGTGATTGTGGGGATGCTGCGACGGTCTTAAGTGTGAAAAACGATCATAAGTCACTTTTTTCAGTGCCGTTGTAACTTTGAACAGTAACTAAATGACCTGTTGTAAGTTGAGGACTACCTGTCTAACTTTTTCAAAAGTTCATGTTTGTAAGAGAGGCAAAAAGGCAGTTATGATTTGGCTCTTGTCATATCCACAAATAATGGACAGGCAGTTCTGATTACTTTGACTAGGAGGTCCTGTCAAGCTGCCAGCGTGTCGTCTTGCCTTGTTTTGTATGAAGTTTGTATGATTTCTGAGGAAGAATACTTGCAATTGTCAATGTGGCCATGATTAGATCTATATCCTTCCCTGGTTGGTTAAAGCCTCCCAGAAGGTAATGTATAGTTGAATCCATGTGGCCATAAATTCATCCTTGAGAAAGGATGTATATCCTCTCTTCAAGAAGCCATCACTAAACTAAATGGTTCTGAACAATTTTTTCCAATATTGTTGAGGAGGAAACAGCATTAAATTCACTTGTTGATGACCTGGTTCTCCTTAGTCTCTCAGTGGCTTTTTATACCATCAATTAAAAATATCTCTGCTATGTCAGCTGCACAGGTTGCCAGCGAGCTTCTGGTTGCAATCCAAGATGTTGGTCATCACGTGCAAAAGCCTTCAAGACATACCGTATATACTCGAGTATAAGCCGAGTTTTTCAGCCCATTTTTTGTGCTGAAAAAACCCCCCTCGGCTTATACTCGAGTCAGATTCCCCTCTGAAAAAAAATGGTGTGGAGCTCCGGAGCTGGGCAGCCGCTTCCCTGCTTCCGTGTTTCCTTTGCAACTTTTAAGCATGGGGGTAATCGGAAGCAGAAAAGTTCTTGCTTTCAGCTTTCTCTGCTTTCAGTCCGCTCGGGAGGAGGGGGAGGAGGTGGTGGCGGCTGCTCGCGTTGTTTTCTGAGCTCTAGGCTCAGAAAAAAATGCGAGCCGAGGTCGCTTCGGCTCCGCTCAGCTTCGTTTCCTCCTCCTCCCGAGCGGACTGAAAGCAGCTGGGGCTGAGGAAACGAAGCTGAGCGGAGCCGAAGCGACCTCGGCTCACGTTGTTTTATGAGCCTAGAGCTCAGAAAAC